CCATTAAAGCCCAATACGGTCCATTAAAGCCCAATACGATTCATTAATGAACAATACGATCCATTAAAGCCCAATACGGATCCGTTAATGAACATTACGGTCCGTTAATTTTTTTTTTTAAATTTTTCGCCGGAAATCCGCCGGTAAAGATTAAAAGGGTTTTTTTAATTATTTTTCTAAAACATTTTCCGACGGATTTCCGGGGGATTTATTTTTTAATTTTTTTTTAAAATTCTCCGCCGGAAATCCGCCGGAAAAAATTAAAAGGGTTTTTTTTATTTTTTAAAAAATTATTTTTTCAAAACTTTTTCCGGCGGATTTCCGGCGGATTTATTTTTTATTTTTAATTTTCCGCCGGAAATCGGCTGGAAAATATTAAAAGGGTTTTTTTTATTTTTTAAAAATTATTTTTCTAAAAAAATTTCCGGCGGATTTCCGGCGGATTTATTTTTTAATTTTCCGCCGGAAATCCGCCGGAAAAGATTAAAAGGGTTTTTTTATTTTTTAAAAATTATTTTTCTAAAAAAATTTCCGGCTGATTTCCGGCGGAAATTTAAAAAATAAATCCGCCGGAATTTTTGTTTTTTAATTTTTTTACTTATTAATTAATTTTTAAAGATTAATTAACATTTAATTAACAATTCCGCCGGAAATATAACCGGTTTAATATTTCCGCCGGAAATGCCCAGTTTTCTAGTAGTGTAAATTCTAAAATAAAATACTAATTCTACAAGATAAATATATTTGAAAATTTATCCTTCTTTTTGAAAATTGAAATATTAGTATAACTATAACTATAATTTATAGGTTTGCGTTTCTTACGTTTAATACAATATATACATTTGTGTATATGCAATTGAATGAGTTTCATGTGCAAAAATCAAAAGAAAACACAAACGTTAAAGCTTATGTCTAAAAGTGTTGCAATAGGTTTATAGGATGTTTTTGTACCTCTTTAACAAATGTTTTAGGACATTTTTAAAATACATCGCCGTTTTAACTATTTGATAGGATACTATTTGAAAAAATGTCCTATAAATTTGGGTGTTTATAGGAAACTTTTCAAAAGTGTCATATAAAATTGTGTGTTTTATTATAAAAGTGTCCTAAAAAACTTGTTAAGACGTCCAAAGAACATCTTACAAATCTATTGCTACACTTTTATATATGACTCTTTAACGTTTGGTTGTAAAAACTTATGTCCTGTAAAACAGTATATTGAGACATTTACAGAATTTTAACGTCCTATAAACCCAATTGATTTATTGTTATTTTTATTTTCTTCACTGTTAATAACTACCAAAAAACTATTAAAAAAATACTTCAATCAATTTTAACGTCCTATAAACCCAACAATATATATATATATATATATATATATATATATACTTTCAATTTGTTCAGCATATTTTAAAAATCATTACATAGACTAGTGTTTTTAGGAAACATAAATCCACGTATTTTTAAGATTGATTATGTTGGATATAAATTTAACAAAAAGTCCTTGTTAGGTAGTTTTTAAGAAGTTTTTTCAAAAGTTTGAATTCTTAATCCGTGTCCGATTAGTTTGAGCTTGGACTCGAAAGGTTAAAAGTGTCTATGAAGGTCTCAGGTTCGAATTCAAGGAGAAACACAAATCCCCTTTTGACCATGGAGGTACAAATGCGGTGACTCCGAGCTACCCGCAAAACGGGTGATCGCACTGAGATTAGTCGACTCGCATAGCGGGATGGATATTAAGGTTAATAAGAAAAAAACTTAGAATTCTTTTAATGAACATTTTCAAAAATTGGATAGTTTTAATTATAATCTACTAGAAGAGTACCCACGTAATGCAGCGAGATACATCTCAAATTTAATTTTTCGTTTTATTCTTTGTCTTTGTCGATGTTTTAATACAGTTTAATGTGGTTTTGAGAAATCGATAATCCTTTTATTTTTGAATAAAATATAAATTTGAAGATATTATAAAATTTTGAAAATTTTATAAAAATTCTAGTTTTTTTTTGTGTAATTTATTTAACTCAAATTTTTATTACAATTTAATTTAGATTTAATAAGTAATTAATAATGAAGTAATTTTTTAATAATATAATTT